GGGTGGATTATAGAAAAAACCGGCCAGGATTGTCATACGTTCTGTATAGGCATGGCCAAACTTAACCTTATCGCTGATTCCACTTCTCTTGGTCAGTATATGACCCTTTGCTTGTTTGCAAATATATTGTTTGGAAACGTGTTTTGTATACTCGAAAGCTGGTTGAGCTGCACCACTGGACGAGGATGACGTAAAAAGCATTTTAGAGTTGGCAGTAGAATGTCATTCACGCATTCCACCTACACCCCGTCTTCGATGATCGACAGTCGCAGTTCTTTCCGTTGCGAAAAGCTGACCAGTCGACAGCGTTCGGGGCTGAGTATGAATTCGACGGCGATATTCGAAGAGGGAACGGGGCGCGAAAGCCTATCGGTTGCCAGTTCTCCCGGCAGATACGCACTGAACAGGTACTTGAAAGGCGGACGACTTGTTGGGCGATCAGCGTGTTTTTGCTATACTAAGTTAAATACGCGTCTGGTTTAATTTTCTGAAATATGTTACCCTGGTATCTGATGACATTTAACCTCGGCGGGGCTGTTTCTTTCGTTTTATTTTTATGCGCTTCAGAGCCGAAGAATGCGGATTGTTCGTTTGTACAGAGTATTCGAATTGGGCGGGTGCATATTTTGTGGTGATTCGTCGTCCTGTGCTGTTGTGCGACCTTCGGTCGGCTATATGTTGATGTTCGATGAAGCGATGTTGTTTTTTTTTAAAGTTGAACGTGCTTGTTTGGTAGTAATTGTTACAGGCGGCGTTGATTTACAGGAACTTTTACCGCAAGAATCAGTCTGTTGCAGCGGCGGCCAGTTCTGCCACATCCGGTGGCAGTCGTCGAGCACAGCACGCCTGGGGCTGCAGGGCGACCAGCGACAGCTCGGTAGTGATGTGCTCGTCCGCCCCTGCTCGATACCATCCGTCGTTGTCCTCCGCGTCTTTTGCCTCCTCTTCGAGTCGCGCGTTGTTTTTGCCATCACAAAGGTGATTGATGCCGGTGCTGATGATAACCGTTCGTTTTTTGTCGTGGCCGCACCGCCTCGACTGCATTTTGTTGCCTTTGTGCATGATCATCACTTCCACTGACCGTTTGCAAGCCATCATGTGTGTATGTATGTGTGTGCATCGTGTAACATTTGGCAATTGCCATTTGCTTGTTTGTTTTTCAGTTGCATCATCGTTTCCTTGGTTGATTGCGCATGCGAGGTTCTGCTGTCCCCTGAACTGAAGTCACACTTCGGTTTGGCGGTCACGTGTGATATGTTGTTGCACGCATGCTTGAGTTGTCTTTCGATCGAAGCTTAAATACCAGATACAACTACTTTTTGCATATGTCGTACGTTTATAACGACTTTAGCTGACGAAGGTCTCAGCGCAGGGTCCAAACAGGCACAGTAAGAGGACTAGTCTATGAGTTGACCCCTCAACGTTTTGTTACTTGTAATTTGTAAGCAATTTTTTAGAGTAGCAACTGCACCGTGAACCTTCCACGATCCCGGATGTCCGAGAGCTTTTTAATGATGGCTAAACTTAACTCATAAATGACGAAATATGATGGCATTATGCTACGAAGAGAGACATCGATTCGTTCCTTTTTTCGTTAAAAATATTTTTTCCCTGAATCCGTGGCTCGTGCCAACACTTGTCAGCGCTGAACCGGTTAGATCATTCTACTTTCTTCCTCTTCCTTACTCTGTAGGAAGGAAACCGAAGGCTACACGCTATACTTTCCATATAGCTGCTTTAGACCTTGCCTTGAGAAAATGGCGATGACGTGGATACGGAGATCGGCGCCTAGCCATTATATTCTTGAAAAGAAAGGGACAGGAAATGGCATCATCAAGAATATGCGAATAAGATCGACATTCTGACAGTTAATAACTTTCTTTTTTTTGTAACGGATGCTACGAAATCTTTTATTTATCGACGCGTTTCGGTTAGAAGAGATAATGCGTTCATCCGACGTACAGGTTTTCTGGATGATGAGGTTGATGATAATGACGATGAATGGAAGGACGATAACTCATAGTCGATACTGGTGAGGATCATCGCGATCAACAGGCTACCTGCTGACAATCCTTGTCTTCGATCTATCGTTTCATGTACGACAAATCTTTCTGATTTTCTTTTCTGCTTTTTTTGTCGTTTCTTAAGTTGTATTTAAGTCTTCGACTATCCTACAGATTCTGAAGAAGAAAAAAATCGTACGGCCCGACGTGAAGTATCGACCAATCATAGTATGATTACTGGTTAAAACGGTTGACTGCCACTTGGGTTGCAGGGAACAGATCTTTCTTTTGACACTGTATCGTTTTTCCCATAGATGTGATTTCAGTGAAGGTTGCCCTTTTACCGACCATTTCCAGATTGTAATAGGCATTTGCCTTCCAATCTCATGTTTTAGCCACAATACATTGCTGTTGAAAAATGATTATCTGACAAGAGCTAATTGCAATACTTTTTGCCATTCAGTCGTTTCCTGTACATGATTGATTTTTACAGTTATCATATCTACAGGGATGAAAATTATGATTTTCATGATTGACAAGTTTGAAGTTTTCAACTGGACATTGAAAGTGAATTTTCGAAAGGCCAGGAAAGAATATAGATATTTTGTCTTTAAAGAGGAATGGACGAATTGATCATCACTCTTTATTCACTGCCGATTTGAAGCGTAGCTCAATTTTGTTCTGGTACTTTTTACCATACTGAAAATTGATGCCCTTAAGTGCAACCGGATGTCATCGACATGCATGTACAACCGGTATGAGTATGATTATCAACATACCTATTGTAGGGTTGTTTGCGAATGAATGACGACATTTGTGATGAGTATAACGAAAAGAGGAACTTAACATTCATACTCACTTAACTGATTACCTCTTGTTTCACTCACTGTTCTTAACTTTTATTGGCTGCAAATGAGCTATACTGGTGATTGCTAAGGCGGCTGATATTGCTTGATAATTAGCTGAAATTCATCGCCATATTGCATATGTTTGGGCCTCGTAATTATTTTGCATTTTTAAAGTTTTTTCTCAGCGGAAATTTTTCGTTTTTTCGTTCGCCATTGCCGTTGGTTATTGCGCAAGGTATAAATCGAGTGTTGAGAATATGTTCATGAAACAGGTTTCGTGACTGGTTTCAAGCTTTATGTACGGCGACGACATTCAAGGCTGTGAATGCTCTGAGTTCTTTTTTATTCTCTTGTCTGTCCGCTTATGCTACGATGTTTAAACACCAGCTGTTGCGATGGTGATCGGTCGTTTTGTGAGTAACTTCGTTGTTGGCCGTTTGCCGTCCATATTCCCTTCTGCCGCGAGCACCACTGTGAAGTCCTCTTCATCTACTAATCACAAAGAATTTTTTGTGTACGTATCAGTGGTTTGTGACTTTTTTGATATTTCGTAGAATTGCATTTTTTTGGTCATAGAGTGAAGAATGTCTGGCAAGTGTTAAAACCTGTGAAGATGAATTGTCACATCTCTCAGAGGAATTGTTTTGATCTCTCAGGAAATTATCCTAAGCACTTCGAAGTCGGAGTGACTATTTCCCTATGCACCGTGGAGATGTTTTTGCTTTTCCTATCTAACGTTGTTCTCGAGTTTCTTCTTCGAAACAGTGCTGACCTTTACAAACACTTAGGTCTTATCCTATAAGGAAGACTTAATTCAAGATATTCGGCAAAATCCGATGTCAGTAAAATATACTGTCTTGGAGAGTAGTACTGTAAAAGGTTGCACCACCTGACACCTTCCTTATGCGACACAGCTGCGAAAACTGGCCTTTTCCTTAACGCTCAGAAGTCGCAAAAACTATCAAAAATCCATCTAGCCAGCTGCTCCACAGGTGTAACTGGGAACTGAAACGCTTCAGGAAGTTGACCAGTTTACGTATATTGATTCCATTATTTCCAGCGATGATACTATTCTTCTACAGTTAAGGAGAAGGATGACCTTCCCTTCCAGTGATTTTTCTTAACTTGTCCAATATTTGGGCTGGGAAATGACTAGACCCCCTGACAAAAATTCGTCTGTGCCTTGCCTCAGTTAAGTCAGCGTTGTTGTGCGACATGTAGATAGCTGTTTTAACAAACCTTGCACAGCAGCGTTGCCTTCGACGCATAGTGAGGGTTAAATTTCATGGCCACTTAAATAAATGAGCGCATTCTTTTCCGGGCACAGGTAACGACAGTAGATGTGGAGGTCAAGAAAAAGAGGTTGGCCCTGTTAGACAAACTTGTTGAACATTTACAACTATTTACTGCAGATCGTGAGCTTCTCGTGTGGGAGCTGAAAGTTGAAACGGCAGGAATCGCCCATTAGGCCAGTGCGAACATTAAGGAACAATGTAGAGACATATCTGTTTTAGAAAGGAATATTTCCTTCTGCGGGGTTGTATGCGGTGCCTTATGGCACAAAAATATCGAAAGTCGGCGAATCCAGCGCACTTCACAAATCAGAGAGGTTCTACAACGAAAATGATTCAGGCGATGATATCAGTGACTACACACACGCACTTTTCAGGACATTTATTGCAGAATGATTAGTGCGTCTACTGTACTTGACAAATATTATGGACTGATCTGACTGCGAAAGTAAATCCTCTCGCCATGAGACAAACGAAAACAGTTTAGTTGCTATTGTTTAAGTTTGCCTCTATTTCGATTTAGCGTATTTCCTGACTGGCCACCACTACACTTGATTTCTTTCTTATGTTTGACGGACTTCACTGATCGTTTTACCTTTATCATTTGATTCATAATCCACATCGATCGATCTTCATCGTAGCTCGCTGTATCTTTTAGATCGCGCACTGTTGTCTGTCTACCTGCATATCTGTTTGTGTATTTACATATATGTTATTGTATCTGCCTGTCGGACCATTTTCATACTTGTCTTTCAATGTATCTCTGCTTATTTATTTGCCTCTCTGTCGTTATGACTATTGTTGTTTTTATTTGAATATCTGTGTGTCTGTTTCTCCGTATGTTTGTCTCCCTGTCTGTGTTTATCACTGTGTCTGTTCATCTATTTAATTATGTGATTACCCATCTTTCTCAGTCTCTACGTCTGTGTATTTGTTTGTCTGTTTGTTTCTTTGCGTGTTTCTTCTGGCTATTTATTCAAATATCTTACTGTTCAATCATTCATTTACTCTCGAAATAATCATAATGTCGTTTTTTCCATAGAATGTCTCACGAAATTTACAACCGAAACATCCGAATTGAACCCGTTCTTATTTCGTATTCGCAACCTCTTAGTCTCTGAGAGAGTCTGCTAAGACGTAGAAACAAAAGAAGCGTACGACCCTGTTGCGCGAATCCGGGGAGCCGATTGATGTATATTACGTGACCGACTTAATCGAAAATTCGTCCCCCCCCCCACTAAACCAAAAATATAATTTCTGT